CCATTCCTGGAGTTGGTTTCCATATTCCTGTCCTGAGCAGTGCAGCTTCACCAGGCAGGTGAAGGCCCCTCTCCCTCACAGTGGGGTTTTCCCTGGATTTAAAATATTGAATCCCAGCTCTATCCATGAGTCCAAGAGCCTGGAGCCCCCATTGGAGGGGGATGTTCTTCCCCTGAGCTTCCCTGAGGGTTTTTTGCTTTTTCATCTCCTGGGAAGACCCAGCCTGGGGGTGAACAAAGGAAAAGCAGCCAAGGAAACAGGGAATGACCAATGCAATCACTCAGATCAGTTTATTTGAACGATTTGCTCGGGTGGGTTTATTTCGAAGTCATTAATTTTGGTGATTGGAGCTTTTCCTGGTTGTAAATGTGTGCATTTCCACACAAAGTCTCTATTCCTAAGGAATATCTGACAGAATTCCTATTCTGTCCAACAAGGATTGTCTCACAAGGTTCTTTTTGTGTCAGCTGCAGGAGCTGATCAGGAGTTTGCATCACTGTCTGTAGGTTAATTCATATTTTTTTTCGGTCTGGATGGGTTTTTTCCATGACTTCCAGCCAGGGAATCTTGCTGTACACTTGTGTGCTGACTGACAAACACGTTGGGAATTCTCTGCTGTCCTTCTTGCTGTCTCCAGGCTGAGAGAAAACTGTCCCTTCTCTCTAAGAACCCGAATTTATCTCAATCTTGGAGCCTCTTGCTAAAAGACGTGTTTGCTGAAGCTTTAATGATTCATATGGCTCTTCCTTAAACTTTTTCTAATTAGTCAACATCGTTTTTGGAGCCTTTCCATCAGGAGCAGACACAGCATTGCAGTCAGAAGCTGCACAAGCCCCAGTTGCAGGAGCAATGTGATTTCCCTGTGCATCCCTGGAGCCTGGCAGAGCTTTTGGCAGGAGCTCATCCTCAGCTCCCTGGCCATCAGCTCCGTGCTCTGATCCCGAAGTTCTGCTCCCAGCTCGGCTGGGGAAAGGCTGAGGAGCTTTGCCAGGGCTCAAACCTGCTCAAGGTAGAGGCTGGAGCACGTCCAAGCTGCCCCTGTGTGGGCACACAGCATCCCTGCTGCTCCTGTTCCAGGGAGTCACGGAGTTTTTAAGGCTGGAAAAGCCCTCTGGGATCATCCAACTGTTCCCCAGCACTGCCAGGGCCACCACTGACCGTGTCCCCAAATGCCACATCCTCAGGGATTTGAAATCCCTGCGGGCATGGGGACTGCACCCCTGTCCTGGGCAGCCCCTTCCAATACCTGACCACACCTTCCAGGAACAATTCCTCCCTAATATCCAGTTTAAACCTTCCCTGGTGCAATTTTCCTAGGAAATTTCCCATTCCCTACCTATTTCCAGGAGAAATCTTTCAGGATAATCAGGGAAGCAAGAGCACAGCAGGTAGCACCGACCTCCTTTATCCCAAAGGGGACACTGCAAAATCCTGGAATCCTAAAAAGGTTTGGCTTGGAAGGACCTTCAAGACCCTCTCGTTTCATGCCACGAGCAGGGAATTCCCACCGGAATTGTGGCCGTCTGGGTGACAAAATCATTTCTCCTGCTATCCCAACAGGGAAAAAAAATCTCATTGATTTTTAGCAGCTGAATGAATCCTAACCCACGGGGGAAAATTTCAGGGGACTGGATTGACCCGTGAGGAGAGTGGGATTGCAGGCAGCCCGGGAAGGGAGTGGCCTGGGGGATCCAACCTGGCCTTGGGCACTGTCCCAGCAAATCTGGGAATTCCTTTCCCAGGAATTCCTTCCCAAGATCCCAGCCCAATCTCCCCTTTCCCAGTGGGAGCCATTCCCTGGGTCCTGTCCCTCCAGGCCTTGTCCCCAATTCCAGCTCTCCTGGAGCCCCTGCAGGGACTCTGAGCATTCCCTGGAATTTTCCCTTCTCCAGGGGAACATTCCCAGCTCTCCCAACGCATTTTCCCGTTATTTTCTATAAACCTGTGAGTGTTTACAAAGGACATTCTCCAGAATCTCTTTGGAGGTTTCTGTGATGATGCTGAAGGCAGCACAGCGAGTGATTTACCTGGAACAATCTGGATCCGTTTCTGGGTGGAGAATCCAAAATCTCCTCGCAGGGAGAGTTTCCCAAATCCTGTGAATTTCTGGGCACTCATCCCCAGACCATGAACTTCAATGGTTGGGCTCGATGACCTTGGAGTCTTTTCCAACCTGAATGATCCCATGTTTCTGTCACACAGGGAATTCAGTGATTTCAACACCCATGTCTGTGCAGGTGGGGATGTCTTTGCTTTTCCCGTGGACACAGCAGGACAGGACCCCTCTGTTTACTACAGGGAGTAAATCAGCACCGAGGAGTAGGAGACTTGTTCTGTTCCAAAACCACGGCTGTGCTCTGAGCAGCAACCCCTGAGGGAATGGTGAGGGAGCCAAAATCTGCCCTTGATCAGCCTTGTGTAAGCCAGGGAGCAAACACAGAGGCTGATGGGTCACTGAGGAGGTGTTTTGGGCCACCTTTGATCCTCTCTCCTAACGGGGCTCAAAGTCACCATTGGTTTTCCAGCAGAACTGAAGCCTTGCAATAGTTTTAATAAATTCTGGATAAATGCAGCCACCTTGTCCCATAGGCAGCAACTCCAGTGAAATCAGAGCTCAGCTCTGGCTGCAAACAGAGGCACCAATGTCAGGGAAAGGGAATTCTGAAGGTGAGCAAAACCTCCACGTGCTGGGAATGCTGGGAATGCACCCTGAACCTTTTTTTTTTTTTTGGGGGAGGGGGGGTTTGATATCCAGGCTGGGTTTTGTAAGGATGAAATTCCACTTGGATTTCTGCAGCGGTGCTCCAGAATCACAGCTTGTTTCTAGGTATTATGGCTTTAAAGAGAACATTATAAAAATAAACCCCTCGTATCAGCCACGAAACCATGGATCCTTGGGAATACTCACTCTGGAGCTGCTGAGAAACGTTCTTGTCATCCCAGGGTAGTGTTAACTGTGGTACCTAAAGCCATCAATATGCATTGAGTAATTCACTGCTGTTAAGTTTAGGAGAAACATGTAG